TATGAATCAGCAGTTCTCTCTGTGAATATTTACTTAGCTATGTATTTTTTCCGATCCATTTATAATGAAAGATGCAATGATAGCATCGCATTATTCATCAATGATGGAGAAGGAACGTTTAGCTTCATACTTAAATATTAACGGTTACCAATCACTGGTACCCATGACTCCTCCGCCGGACGAAGGAAATATTGCAGTCGAGAAAGGAGAAGCTGTTGTAGAAGCATGTCGGCCTGTTTCAGCTTGTCCCAACCAGTTGGTCGCTGCAGGTCTCGACATGTGTCGATTTGCACGACAATCCCAGCTCCAAGCCTCTGATATGGGTGGGGCATTTAACAAGACAAAGGCCGCTCTCTCGATCTATACTATCATCGGATGATCAGCATTTGAGTCGCTTCGTGTCACGTGCCAGGAGCTGAACAGAAGCGAAATGAAAGGAGTGGTCCGAATTTGAACGGGAAAATACAAGAAGACAGACTAATATTTGTTGGATACGCATAATGAAAGGCTTGCTTAAATATATAAGGGGTGTGACGTGAAGGTCTTAGGTTCAAATTTGGTTTATTTCTCTTTGTCTCCATTTTTTATTATTATATGGTGTAACGTCAGTGCTTTTTTTTTTCTGTTTTTTTCTTTTGCATATTTTTTTCTTAAACGGTAAAATTAATAAAAATCGACTTAGATTAGGAAATCCTATTAAAGAAAGAGTGTGCCCCCGACAGGAATCGAACCCTATCTCTTTCTTATCACATCAGGAAAAACGGATTTGTGAGCCAAAGCGTGCCGCTACCCGTTTGATCACGGAAACAAGAGTTAAATAAATAAACATATAAACATATTTTTTTATTACTCAGTCCGTGCGGCGTATGACGATAAAATACATCCACATCCTGGGTATGACGATAAACTACATCCAGCAGCAAGGCCTCTGATCAGGAGGTTTTGAGGAGCGTAGAACAACCTCTTAATTGCTGGCGTTCCCAGGTCCAACTTGACCTGATGTGGTAGCACCTGTTAGGGTCCCAGTTATGGGCAAATAGTTAACCCCCCCAAACTGGGGTCAAAACACTATAAAATACTTTTTTTTTAAATTACTGCTAGCAATACATTTTTGAAGAAAAAAATATTACCAAAAATAGATTTATGAAGTAAAAATAATATTACGAGCAACAAAATTTTTGTTGGCATTAAATAACCCATTGAGGTTGATATGCCGTAAAACAAAATAAACCAAACCAAACCATTACTCAATGGCTTTTTCAGGAGGAGTCTTTTTTGTTTTTGTTTTTGAAAATATTTTGTGGGACTTTTGTTTACGAATTGAATATAAAATAAGTAAGGTACTGGAGAAGTTTTAAAGTGTTTTCAATATATTTCCCTTCTTCGCGTACTTTAAAAACACTTTCAAAATTTTCCAGACCCCTAATTGTTTTCTATTCGATTCGAAACAAAAGGCCCACAAAATATTCCAGAACCAAAAAACGGCCCCCGTAAGAAACCTAATGTATCAAAAAATATATTATCCTACCTACTAATTCTATCACATTTACATGTAAATATTATTATACACACACACACTCATTATATTATATATATATATATATATATATATATATATATATATATATATATATATGATTAATGTGAGCATAAGTGTATCATTTAGCTGATTGATGTTACCTTCATCATCCGACTCAAGTGTTTCGTAGGGGTATCTGTCCAACCACACAGCAGAGTCTATCAGCAATTTACTGCTTATATTTTTTAAATGTATATTATGCACATGCACAAACACATTATATATATATATATATATATATATATATATATATATATATATATATATATATATATATTAAATATAACTATTCACTATATATATATACTAGCAGTAGATCCCGGCGTTGCCCGGAGATGTAACAGTAAGAGATAGATCAAGTATCGACCATCATAAAGACTGAAAAATAAAATTGACAAAGATTATTGTTTAAGGTTGACGGACACGCAGGTCTTAATTAGTTTTTTTTGTTTGTTTTTTTTACGAATTGGTCAAACCCAAACTCAAACAAAAACATTGTTTTCAATCCTTATGAGTCTATCGATGTAAATGGAATTTTTAAAGCATTCTGAATGTAAAAATAAAGAAAAAAGTGTGCAAGACAATAAGAAACACTACCTGCCAAAAAAGTGAAGTTTTGTGGAAATTGGTTGAAAAATATAGGAAATCCGATCCCATATATAAAGGAACACACACACACACACACACACACACACACACACACACACAAACAACCTGGGTTTTATAATAAGTATAACTCGATATGAGTTGCCCCCCTTTCATTCTCGTGATGCCTCTTAATCGTGTTTTTAAATTTATTTCATGCAAAAAAAATTGTGTTTTTCCTATTTTTGGCGCTGTTAGAACCACCATAAGGCAATTTTACATAGTCCTGTGATGTTTTGTTGAAATCGGTTGAAAAATGTAGGAAATCCGATCCAATATATAAACGTACAGACACACACACAATCTGCGTTTTATAATAAGTAAGATATATATATATATATATATATATATATATAGTATAATGGGGCAGCATATCATTATTTAG